AACTTACATACTGTCCCTAGCCCACTATTCCAAGTGACACTAGACAACTCACCCTTCCCTCAGGGTGAGGTTCTCTTCCCTACAGCAGCCTTTCCTGGCCCTGTTCCCTGGGAAGAAGAACAGCTTCTGCTCTGGCACCAGGTATTTTATTCCAAGCCCTCCTCTTTTCCTGTTGGTCAATTTTGGCTCCAAAACCTCTCAGGGGCTTCCGGGAGTTGTAGGCCCAGCCTCACCTACTGCTAGCCGGGCTCCCAGGGCCTAGTAGGCCTCTGGTGGCACAGCCTAGATCATGACAGGCCCACAGACTAAAAACAATCAATTTACACTCCAGTTTAAAAAAAAAAAAGATGTCAAAGACTGCAGCAACTATCGGACCATCACATTAATTTCTCGTGTGAGTAATGATGCTCAAAATCTTACAACAAAGTCTGTTACCATATATAGAATGATACATTTATGTTGCTTACTGGAACACATGAGAGAATTTAAGAAGAAAATCAGCTTTCATTTCATAGATTACAGCAAAGCTTTTGACTGTGTGGACAAAAATAATGACTGCTGGGGAATTGTGTAACTTTAGGGTGGAAAGTGAAGAAATTGTTCAATGTTTTCTGTTCCTCGGCTCCACTATCAACCAAAAGGGAGGCTGCAGCCAAGAAATCGGAAGGAGACTGAGGCTGGGAAAGGCAGCCACAAAGGGAGCCGCACAAGATCCTTAAGAGTCAGGACCAGTGTTCCCTCTAAGCTGAGTGAGTGTGAGCTAGCTCATAGTTCTTTAGCCTCCGGCTCACACATTTTTGACTTCGCACAGGAAGGATGGGGCCCCGGAGCAAAATGATTGATGCAGTAGCCAAATGGCTCACTCACAACTTTATTGCCTGTAGCTCACAAAGGGGAATTTCTGCTCACAAGACTCTGCGCCTTAGAGGGAGCCTTGGTCAGGACTGGTCGCTGGTGGTGACTCAGATCAAGTTAGCTTGTGCCATTAGTATGTCGGGGTGTGGAAAGGTGGACAGTGAAGAGAGGTGAGAGGGAGAAAGTGGATTCCTCTGAAAGGTGGTGCTGGAGGAGGGACCGTCCAGAAAGACACCCCAGTGGGTTGTAGACCCCATCCGGCGGCCTGCCCTGAACTCTCGCTAGAAGTGAAAGGGATTCCAGGGAGGGCGATGCTACTCTGGTCCCAGGAGGGAGAAGGCCAGAGAGTCAGTGGAGTGGTTGGAGGGACCCACCAAGGAAGCCGGGAGGGAGGGGGGGGGCGCGTAGCCGGGCTGTGTGTGGGGGGGGGGGGGGGGCCTGGGGGGGTCCCTCCTTCCTCGCCCCCCCCTCCAG